AGGTGAAAGATTTATACAATCAAAACTATAAGACATTTTTTAAAGAAATCCACGGTGACATACAGAAATGGAAAGGTATTCCATCCACATGGATCAGAAGAATAAATATAATAAAAATGTCCATACTACCCAAAGCAATCCACAGATTCAATGCAATCTCAATCAGAATCCCAATGACTTTCGTTAAGGAAATAGAACAAAGAACCCTGAAATTCATGTGGGGCAACAAAAGACTCCGAATAGCTAAAGAAATCCTGAGGAAAAAATAACAAAGCTGGAGGCATCACAATCCCTGACTTCAAAATATACTACAAACTATAGTACTGGTACAGAAACAGGCACATAGATCACTGGAACAGAATTGAAAGCCCAGAAATAAAACCACACATCTATGGACAGCTAATCTTTGACAAAGGGACTAAGACCACACAAGGGAGAAAAAGTCTCTTCAATAAATGGTGTTGGTAAAACTGGACAGCCACATGCAAAAGAATGTAGAATACCACGCAGAAAAGAAAAAGAAAAAACCTACAAAAATCCAAAATGGATGAATCTCACAGTCAGAATGTCGAATAAAAGAAGCTAGGCAGAAAACAAGACATTTTGTATGATTCCATTTATACGAAATTCAAGAATAAAAAAACTAATCTATAGTGCTAAGAGGTCAGAAGCAAGATTACCTTTGCTTGGGGGTACAAACTGAGAAGGACACAAGGGGCCTTTCTCAAGTGCTTAAAATGTTCTATCATAACCTGTGTAGTAGTTTCATGGAGAGAGAGAGATATATATATATATGTATATGTGTGTGTTAAAAATTCATTGAGTTGTACATCTTAAGACTTTTATACTTCAGTGATGTATTCTTATATAGTAATAAAACATTGAAAATAAAAAGCACATACACAGCCAAATTAAGGCTTTTTTTTTTTTAAGATTGGCACCTGAGCTAACATCTGTTGCCAATCTTTTTTTTTCTTTCTTCTTCTTCTCCCCAAAGCACCCCCCCATACATAGTTGTAGATTCTAGTTGTAGGTCCTTCTGGTTCTGCTACGTGGGACACTGCCTCAGCATGGCCTGATGAGCGGTGCCATGTCCGTGCCCAGGATCCGAACCAGCAAAACCCTGGGCCACTGAAGCTGAGCACACGAACTTAACCACTTGGCCACAGGGCTGGCCCCTAAGGCATTTTTCCTAATCTTGAGAACCAAGCACACACAACACTGGTCTGTGATGTTCAAGCCAGTCTGGAATGGCAACTCATGACTTCCTCTTTCTCTTTCTGAGTATTAAAAAATTCTCAGACTAGCAGAGAAATCTACAAATAGTCGTCTTAGTTGCTAGAGAAGGCCCACCTCTGTTAGTGGGAACAATGTGGTCTCAGAAGTGGGCATACACAAATAGAGTGTTCCTGCCATACAAAGCACACAACCCTGCAAGTGTGGTGGAGTATGTAGAATCAGGTATCAGTTTCACTTCCAATTTGAGATGACCTAGTCTCATCATGTAATGTTTATTTTTCACTTGATATTAGAAAAAGAAAACTTTTGGATAAAGACAGTAAAATGAAGAAGTATCACAATCTTCTTCCCCTAAAACCTAACGAGATAAACAAAACGTTTGGGGGGTTGAGGAGGGAAGGAAACAGCTAAAAATCTACCAGCAACAACCGACCAAAAAGAGAACAACTTCAAAAGGGGGAGGGAGGAGGTGGTGAGTAGTGTGAAACAGAAGATTCTGGCAGCGTGGCAGAGCTGCTAACCAAACCAAACCTTCATCTGCCAAGAAGAGTAATAAGGAAAAGTGAGTAAATAAAATTAATGAGTAAATTTATGCAATAAAAGTAATAAAGTGAGAAAATAAAATAGAGAATGATAATTACTGATAATTTGTAGCAAAGTAGATTAAAGCTCTAAGTAGGCAACTCTGAGGAAAGTCAAGGAAAAACTTTCTCTTAAGAATAAGAGATCCACATTCTGTTCCAGGACCTTTGGCAGAGGCAGAAAAGGTCAAGGGTGCTTACCATCTTTCAGAACTCTGAGGTGTACTAGGGGAACAAGCAAAGCTCATGAAAATATGATACATACTAGAATACTGGGAGTGGGCCATAATATATGATATTGTCCACTCTCTTGAGCCAAATCCAACAAGGCCTATCCTAAACTAACTCTCTACCACTTTACCACAAGCCCCTCAGGCTACAGACCAAAGCTGGGGGGGGGGGGGGGCCTGGCAATTAAGCAACCATAATATACTTTTTTTTGTTTTTGTTTAATGAAAACAGGAATAAATTAAGCAAAAGACATTTGAAGAATATAATAAAAAATGAAAACAAAACTTCCCCTCAACAAAAACACATACACAGAAAAAAACCAAAATAGTGAAATTGATTGCTGATCAATGTTCCACACAAAAAAATTTAAGAATATAAATTCAATAAATCATGAGACCAAATATAATGATAAAATATTAAATAAGTGGAAAATGGAGCCAAGGAATCAAATTAAAATTCAAAACACAATTGCAGATCTAAAAGGTGAATTAGAAACAGCAAGTGACAAAGATATCAAAAACATCAGGGTAAGGCTTAAAAAAAATCACAATAAATGATAAGAAATGACATTAAAATATCCAAAGAAAAGAACACAGATGTGAAGGACAGGCAAAGAAAAGTCAACATTTGCATCATAAATGGAGTCCCTAAAGTAAAGGACAAAACAAATGGAACAGGAAACATATATATACATAAGACAGAAAATTTTTCTTGCACAAAGGAGAAAGAATCTCAGATTGAAAGGGAGCATCATAGGTACTGGGAAAGACTGATAAAGAACATCAACATCCAGACATACTCTGGTTAAGTCAATAATTTCAAGTATAATGAATAATATAACTCTTCACTTAGAAAAAAAATATCACTCACAAGGAGAATATAAAACATTGATGATATCAGAAGTGTTAATCTCTTCTTAAGCAGGTAATCAGTTTTAATTAAAGGAATACTGTGAAAACAAATCACTTGGACTCCCAAAAGATTTTTCTTCATTTAAGCACTTGCAAGCAATTTCTTTCCTAGTAAGAAAATTCAAAGATACAGAAAACAAAGAACCTTCCTCCTTATTCAAAATGAAATAAGGTCTCATTTAAGATCAAAATATGACTCTAATAACAAATAGCAGAATTCCTATGTTGAGTTTTCCTGCCATTACTTTTTTTCTTTCAGTTTTTTTGAGAAATAACTGACATACAGCATGGTATAATTTTAAGGCATACAGCATAATGACTTGATTTACATATATTGCAAATTGATTACCATGATAAATTTAGTTAACATCCATCACCTCACACAGTTACCAAAAAAAAAAAGAAAAAGAGAGGGAGAGGGAGGGGGAAAAAAGGTTTTTTCCTTGTGATGAGAACTTTTAGGATCTACTCTCTCAGCAACTTTCAAATATACCATACAGCAGTGTTAACTATAGTCATCATGTTGTACATCATATCCCCAGTACTTATTTATCTTATAGCTAGGAGTTTGTATCTTTTGACTACCTTCATCCAAATCCCCCATCCCCTACTTCCTGCTTCTGGTAACCACAAATCTGATCTCTTTTTCTATAACCAACATTTCTTGCTACAAAGTCATTTTAAAACCCACCTACAAGGTAAAGCTTTGTTTGTCAAGAACTATAAAACATGTTTAGATGATAATGATAAATCATCAAGCATGGCTGGTACAGCAAATGATAGTTTATAAATTGTGTTTGTTCAAATTCACTTCAGTATAATTAATTTCTCAGCTACAATACACAATGCCACAAAATAACTTCTGAGAGAGAAAATGGGGTGACAAGATTATTAATATACAGCCATTCTGATGTTTGACTATATAAAGACAACAAACAAACATTCTCAAATGTGAAAGAACTCAAGGAATACAGAATCCAAAGCCCTCCCTAAAAAAACAACAAACACAACGAAATAAATGAAACAGAATTCGTAGTAATCAGTGAATCCAACTAGATATAGGACTAAGGCTAAACAATGGGGGTCAGCGGGCACAAGATGTGGAGATGGGTGTAGATCTGGAAGGAAAAATAAATTAAGCAACAAAATTCAGGAGGTGGAGGGTAAGAGCAGAGGGAAAAAGTTTACGAGAGACAATTAATTACCTCATTTTTCAGAGCAGGGAGTCAATTCATACTATCTAAATCTAAAACAATAATTCAATCTCTTAATTTATTTAATCACTTTGATCTTAGATTTTCTAGGTCCTCTTAGAGTGAAGAATAGTATCCAAGATTTAGTAATTCTTAGTTTTCCTTCTGTTTCACTTTTTAAATGTTTTATTCAAGTAAAATTAAAGTTAATATGCAACTGGTGTAATTCAAAACTTCCATATTAAATCCGTTTCATACACGCACAATACATAATTTTTACAATTTTACTTTAGTTCTATTTTCTTCTAATAAATTCAAGTAAAAAATACATTAAATATTTCAATTACAAAGATGTTCAGTATAATCCTATCCTTAAAAAATTCATTCATTTTTCTAGCCATCCATCCAGTCTTCCACTAAACATACACACAGAATTATTCGGGGTGTTAATAAAATGTAAACAATTGCTTATTTCTGAGGGGTTTAGATTCGGGGTAATTTACTGCTTTATTCTCTCTACTTTTTTGTATTACTTGGATTCTAATGAGCATGTATAATATTTATAAACATAATAAAGTCATTTTTTTTAAATCAGAAAAACAACAGTTTGACCACTACAATTTTCCTTCCCCAGAGTTTCTCCAGCTGGAGTCATGCCAGGAAGAATATCTTTTAGCCTAGCAAAAAAAACGTGGAAGTACTGTCATATCAACAAGGACACAAAACCTCAACAGAGGGTTTCTAGTTTGAATTTTCTCTCTTTGGGCTCAGTAGTACATAACTGAATAGATTCTATCATAGACAGATGTACAGTATCTGCAAAACATGCCCCCAAAACCTCATACCTTCACAACAGGATGTCCCCCAGTAGACGCTTTTACTGCTCCTCGGCTACCTTCAGTTTCATAATGGGCTCGATGATGAGTTTTAGGTTGCACTTCTATTTTCAGTTCACATTGTCCAAAATGAGTTGGTAAAGGCCAGTCTAGTGGAGGTAATGAAGATGTGCTATAAACAAAACACACAAAGACGCATTTCACCATGCTATTATTGCCAAGCAGTGATTCAAATTACTTCTTTGTCAGCACCAACATTTCAAGATCTTTGAAGCAAAGTATTCCAAAATAAAACTTTACTTAGTGATAAGTTATAACATTGGATATGGTGGGTGCTTAAGAAAGAATTCTTTAACCTGAAGAATAAAACTGATTTTATCTATTTTTTCTTTCCAGTATTTTTTTAAAAGGACAAATTCTAACAGTTTGTAAAACTATAACTGTTTCTCAACTATGTGTACCTAACTACAAAAACAATCAAAATAATAATAATTTGACTTCTTAAAGCAAAAATGAACATCTCTGTGTATTGTATGTGTGTCAGTATCTCCCCAAGGATTCAAATACCACTCAGTACATATGTCTCCCTCCCTGGTGTGTAACTATAGAAGTCAGTCTATTGTACATGCTGTTTCTCCCATTTCCTCTCTATTGCTCTTTTCCCTGTCTCTCTGAAATATTACTTATAGTCAGTGATGTATTGCAACTTGAGGTAAAAATTTAACTTCAGTACATACTTGGCTGAAAAAATACAAGGCCTATCACTGCAGCATCTCTAAATGTTAATTTTAGAGACAAATGTCAGTTGATCAATAAGATAATTTAAATAGCTTAAAGGCAACAGGTTCATTTAGACATATTAACACTGAAAACATGAAATTAGAAAAGAAAGAACTTATGTATATAGGTCAAATACTGATGAACCCAAAGCTAGAATGATTTGTCTTAAAAAGTAATATCTTCTTAGTGATTGGTGAAATGGAACTTTTAAGATCTCTTCTACCTCTGAAATACAATCATTCCTACTGTAAATTTCTAAATTATTTCATTATTTCCTTGAATATCCGCAGCCTAGCTTTACTAGCTACTGTGAAACTCAAAGGTATTAATTTTTATTAGTCTGAAACAACTCAGCTTCATCAACTCTCAGTTTCTGCACTTCTTCTGCAGACTTAAGCAAACCACTGAAAAGATTAAGATAATTTTCAGAAGCAGAGCGATAGGCTCAAAAGGTATCTTCAATTACCATAATTCCACATTATGTTTTTCTAAAGATCTGGATCCAGAAATAAAGATTTATATCAATGAAAAAGCATTAAAAAAAAAGTAAACAGACCCAACTCCATGTGGGAATATAATAAATGACAAAAATTATCTTTTTTAATCAATTACAGACTAGATTTATTCTATAAATGGTATTGTGATAACTGACAGACCATTTGGAAAATAAAGTCTTTACACTATTCCTCACTCCAGTCCCTAGTTAGACTCAAGATTCAAACATATACATTATATATCTATATATTTTTTACCATGTTTAATATTTTTAATAATATATATTTTATTTTACATGTTATACAAATACAAATACTATATATAGTTACATACATATATTATAATAATAATATATATAAAAAACTTCATTAGAAATACGAGTTAGATTTTTTTGTTTATTTTTAATTATTTCAGAGTAGGGTAAGGCTTTCAAATATAACACAAAACCAAAAGGCATAGACAAATTTAAATACACAAAAGTTAAAAATTCCTCTACAATAACAAAATCACAAACTTATAAAGTCAAAAGACAAAAAATAAATTATGAAAAAATATACTTGCCGCAAATATGAAAAGGCAAATTTAATTTGTATTTTGAGCTCTTAAAAATATAAAAAACCTATTCTCAATTAGTTTTATTACTAATTTAATTCATATTATAATCAACCTTTACAAGAAGGTTTTTTAGATAAGAAAATTCCTTCCAGGGATTCTTAAATGTGATTTGTTATTATCTATATGCTTTTAAAATTATGACTTTAGCCTATCTAAAAACAGTTTTAAGACTCAAAGGAAAATAAATGTGGACTTTGGAAGAAATTAAAGAGAAAAAAAGAGGAGGAGGAAAAATGGTCAAACCATTCTATAGAGATAATATAGTTACATGCCACCAATAACCCATAAGCACAACAAATGACTGGCAGTCATTTCCATCAACTCACCGAAATATAGGGGTATGGCCAGGCTTTGGTTTGCTCCAGGTAAAGGGTGAAGGAACTGAAAGAAATTGGTCACCAGATGAATCTTTCTTTAAAGGATATTGAGATCCAAGGCCATCATCTACTGAGGTTTCCCGGGATGGTGATAAATTCCCTTGGTCATCTGAACAGAGCTCTAATTTTCCTGGTAGGACTGTAGCTTGATCTTCAGAAGTCTTCCTTGTTTTCAGAGGGATATCAGTCTCTACACAGTACTGAAATGGAAAAAGTGCAGGGCCAAGGCCTGATCCACCCTGGACATTGAGCCAGGTATCTTCTGTTACACTTCCCCTGGGAGAGTGACCAGGAGAAGGAACAGGTGAATGATGAGGTGAAAGGGACCCAGCATAACAAACCTCAGCACTAGAGTGCCGCCGTTTCCCACACGGGGAAGTAGGCCTTGATGAGGGTCCTGAGGCTGGCCTAGGGCTCAGCCAGTTCTCATCAGTGACACTAGATCTAGGAGAGTGGCAAGGAGACTGCCTGGGTGACAAGGAGTGTCCAAGCCCATACTGTTGATGCCAGGAGTCTTCTCCAGGGCAGCCTCCTGGAGAGCCACCAGGAGAAGTCAGAGGGGATCCAAGAGTAAATCGGGCAGCAGCTTCATTCAATTCTGAATCCACATCATCATAAATATGTGAAAGAGATTCACAAGAAGAAGCATCTGAGAACCAGCTCCTAGAAGAGATACTGCTGGCAGGACTAGGACTAAGGGAAGACTCCCGGTAGGATGGCTCAAGAGGAAGATAGAGATGATCTCTAGAAGGCCTTTCCAAATAATCCCTTTCTGGGTCATTTATGTGTAGGTCATCTTCATGAGCATCTATTTCTTGATGACAGTTAGGAGAGATGGATGTAATCTGAATACTTGGGCACTCAAAGGGTTTGGGACCACCTAATGGGCTGTATTTAGATTCAGGAACCTCACAAGTTCCTTCATAGTTTTTGTGACCTTGGAGCTGAAACGGTGGTGACAAAACAGAAGAGTGAGACGGTAATCCATGATGTGGTAAGCAAAGTGGTGAGTTTAAAGTAGATGGAGGTGGATCTACATTAAAGATGTAAATGGATGCACAATCATCTGGCTCAAGATCTATGGGGAGAAGGCAAAAAGAAAAAAAACAAAATCAACAAAACAAGGAATTAGAAAATTTAGATGTATATAAATTACTAGATGAGAAAGTAAATAATAATAATAATCTTGAGAGAAAAAAGTAGGACATAAAATGTACATCATTAGCTCCAATAAAGAGTGGTACGTATTTTTTAAAAAAATGTATCTGGTTATTTCTGCAGATATATGCAATTACTACATATTTACATATGTAATTATACATGAAGTTTTTTCTTTTTCTTTATTTCCACATTTTCTAAAATGAGAACCAGAAAAAATTATCTGAAAATAAACACTTTTATTTTTTAAATAATCATATCCATAATTCTCAAAACAACTGATAGAATTATAGAATGACATAATCATATAAATTCAGCCTCATCTAGGGTCTGCAGGTTAAAAAAGGAGTAAAGGACAAAACAGAGTCTTTGAAAGGTTTTTAGTTGTAAGTATAAACACTAAGTTTATTACTGAAAAGGCTTATACACTCAAACCCAGACTCTAGTCCACCTCTGCCTTTAACTGTGAGCTCTTAGTTACATCATTTAACCTCTTCAAGGCCCCAGTTTCCTTGTGGTAAAACTCAGAACTTTTCCCTAAGGAAATGTTTATGATTAACAGTAACAGCTTTTTCCTCCATAGTCACACCATCAAGAATTCATATCTTTGCTCATAGCAGACTAGGTTACAAAAGCCACATGATCCCATTGGATCTTTTACCTCAACTAGGAAATAACTCATTAAGCTTTTTAACTTATGATTGATCAAGTAACCCTCATAAGGGTAGAAATTTTAAAATGCACCCCCTGCTGGAATATTTAACACTAAACAAGTCCTGCCAAATTTCCTACCACAGTGTCGGGAACAATAAGGGTATTCTGCAATTTCACTTTTAGGAAGGAGTGATTATTTTCCATTTTCAGTGAGGCAGAAGTACTAAGCCCCAGTATAAGGTGCTGGTTGAACACCTTCACTTTTTCCAAAGAGCTCATCACTGGGAAACTAAAGACAAAACTGTTCATAGATACAACAGAGAGAAGCACAAACCTTTAGCCTCTTCTGAAAAGTACTGAAGGAGATCATGTTGTTTCATTATATTAGTACCCTTGGAAAATAACACATATCTTTAGACTCCTGGCGTTGCTATCATTAGCCAGCATCCTATAATTTAACTATCTCTGTTAAGTCCTAGATTTCAGAACTTTTAAGATGTTCTGTGGTTAGTGAATATATTCAGTAAAGAGTTTTTACATGTATTAAAACAACAAAACAAAACCCATTAGGTTTAAACCCTAGGCTCTGCCATTCCATAGCTGTGCGAACTTGGACAAGTTATTTAATCTGCTTGAACCTCAATCTGGGGAGGCAGTTTCTTCTATAAAACTGACAGGAGGTGAGTAGAGTATCATCTGAAACACACAGGACCATTTTAAAACAAGTAACCTAACACAATGACTAATATTTAGCAAGAACTCAATACACACCAATTACCTAGATTTTCCCTTTTTAAAATTTAAGATGGGTATGTTATATCCTACTTAATTTTTTTTAACTCCGGAATATGTCCTAATAAATTGAAACATCTTTTTAAATACACCATTCACTCCACTCTTGCATTCCACTTACTGAATAAAGAGGAGTAGGAAGTCAGAGCTCCAAAGAAGAAAACCCATATTTGACTGGGATAAAAAGCTGGAAGAAAAAGCTATAAAAAATAAACAACAAAAAGAAGAGGTTTGGGGGAAAATGAGGAGTGACTAATAATGGGTGTTGGTTTTCTTTTTGCAGTGACGAAAATGTTCTAACACTAGTTGTGGTAATGGTCGCACCATTCCGTGAATATACTAAAATCCACTGAACTTTATATATATATATTTTTTTTAGGAAGATTAGCCCTGAGTTAACTGCTGCCAATCCTCCCCTTTTTGCTGAGGAAGACTGGCCCTGAGCTAACATCTGTGCCCATCTTCCTCTACGTTATATGTGGGACGCCTACCACAGCATGGCTTGCCAAGCAGTGCCATGTCCGCACCCGGGATCCAAACCAGCGAACCCCGGACCGCTGAAGCTGAATATGCGAACTTAACCACTCTGCCACCAGGCCAGCCCCTATTTATACTTTAAATGGGTGAACTGTACAGTATGTGAGTTGTATCTCAATAAAGCTGTTATAAAAATATAGTTAGAGAATATAATATGCATATTTTATCACAAATAAAAATGTTTCTTAAAAGTCAAAAAAATTTGTTTCTTATCTAACTGTAAGAAAATTATTAAAGAAAACTGTAAACAAATGCTATCACCTAACACAACGTTTTTGTATATGTCTTGGTCTATATATTGGGTATATATTTTATATACCTATGATCACAACATTTTGGGGGTTTTTTCCTAAACTTTTATTGAAATATAAGATACATACATAAAAGAGCACACATCATAAGTACACAGCATGATAAGTTTTCACCAATAGACACACCCTGTAATAGCACCCTTAAAAAAAAAAAGAACATGAACAGCTCAGACCGCCCCCGCCTGGCACCCTCCCAAGTCATAACCTTTCACCCAAGAGTAACCACTATACTGACTTCTAACAGCCTAGATTTGTTTAGCCTATATAACATACAACTTTTTCAGTGTTTTCAAAAATATTTTATTGAGCTTTACAGAAACTTTCTAAACAATTTTCAGGGCCATGCAAAATGTCAAGGGTCAATGATCATATTTATTTCCTACTTTTTGCTTTTATAAATAGTGTATATTGAACATCTCTATACATATACCTTTTTGTCTCCTTCTGAATTGTCTTCGAGGATAAATTCCTAAGGGTGGGGTTACCAGATCAAAGAGCACCCACATTTTCACCACTCCTACTATATAGAGACATTTGTTTCAAAAGACTTGTTTTAATTTGCAACAGTGGAGGGACATGAGTATCAATTTTACTAGTTTCTTCAACCAGGATGTTATTTTAAAATTTAGTGTAATTTAGAAGTAAAATGGTTCAGCACAAAATTCAAAATTTCTAAGCAGCAAAGAACAGAAAACCCTAAGCAAAACATCTTGGGCGGGGGAGGAGAATCTTATCCAACATAACAAGAAGTCCAAAGGTAGGACAGTTCCAGAATTGGTTATTCATCAGTTCAATAAGGTCATTAAGAAATCAGTTTCTTGGGGCTAGCCTGGTAGCACAGTGGTTAAGTTCACATGTTCCACTTCAGCAGCTTGGGGTTCACCGGTTTGGATCTCGGGTGTGGACCTATGCACCGCTTGTCAAGCCACACTGTGGCAGGCATCCCCCATACAAAGTAGAGGAAGATGGGCACGGATGTTAGCTCAGGGCCAGTCTTCCCCAGCAAAAAGAGGAGGCTTGGTGGCAGATGTTAGCTCAGGGCTAATCTTCCTCAAAAATAAAATAAAATAAAATAAATCAGTTTCTTTCTACATTCCTATTTTGCCATTTTTGGGGTACCAACTTTGCGCTGTTCACTTTTCAACCATATATGTGTATTCTGCCCTAAACCAGAGGTAATGTGATGATTCATTTAACAAATATTTTTTGAGTAGCTACTATATATAGCAGGCATGTTCTAGACATTGAAAACACAAGAGTAAACAAAACAAAATCCCCCTCCTCATAGAATTTACATTCTAGTAACATATGGAAGGTGGCATTTGTTATAAGGAAAAATAAAATAGGGTAAGGAGAATACAGTGCAAGGAGGAGAGGAAGTTAATTTAGATAGGAATGTTAGGAAAGGGTTTTGTCTCCAATACCCAAGGAGATACCAAAAGGGTATGAGGAACTGAGCTATAGAGAAATCTAGAGGAAAAACACTGCAAGAGGTCAAAGGCCTGAAGATGGAGTAGTTTTGGAGTGTACCAGAGAAAGCAAGAAGACTAGTGGGTATAGAACTGAGTGAGGGGGTAGAATAAGGGCTGGGAGGGTGGGGAGCACTGGCTAGTCAAGTAAAGCCTCACAGACCAATAGAACAACTAGTTTTTATTATGAGATGGAAAACCACTGGAGGGTTCCAATCAAAGGAGTGTCAGAATCTGATATACATAATCTGATACACATTTAAGAGACTACCGTAATAATCCCAGTATAAAATAATGGAGCACAGGACCTGGGTGGTGGTGGGTTATAAAAGTAGAAGCAGCAGTCAGAAATGAGATTTTTTTATTAAGGCAGAGCAGACAGAACTCACTGATGGACTGCACGTGAAAAAGAGAGGAATCAAGGATGACACCAAGGTTTGGGGCCTGAACTATTATAAGAACAGTATTTCTAATTACTGAAATGAAGAAGAAAGTGAGAGAGATTTCAGAGATATGAAATCAAAACTTCTATCTTGGACACATTAAATGTGAGATGCCAATAAGCTTTCCAAGTGGAGATATCACGTAGATACTTGTATATAAAGTCTCAGGCTGGCCATGAAAATTTGAGAGTCATAATGTAAGGCCATAAAATCAGAAGAGATGACTAGGGTAAGTGAGCGTAGAAAGCAGGCAACTGAGGCATAGCAGATTCCAAAGTTTAGAGATCAGGAAGACAAAGAAGAATGAGTAAGAATGAGAAGAGAGAGTCAATGAAATGAAAGAACCAAAAGAGTGTGGCATCCCAGAAGCCAAGTGAAGAAAATGCTAATTTATTCAATAGCTATTTATAATGTGACTACAATGTTCTAGGAACTGTTCTAGAGGTATATAAATAGTAAATAAGACATGCATGGTCCCTGCCCTCAGGCAGCATACAGTCTCAGGGGAGAGTGACAAAAACATAAATTAAAAATTGAAAGTACTCCTAAGTGGTGGAAAAGAGACTAAAGAAGGAACCTATTTTACAAAGAGTACAGGGATGGCCCTTTTGAGAATCCAGCATGTAAGCTAAAACCTGAAAGATGAACAGGAAACAGGGAGCAAAGCAAGGAGTAGGGGGAGGGATGGGTAGAGAAGCTGATAGTTCCAACACA